TCCTTTTTTTTTTTTTCGTCGCGGTGTTTTCCAGAAGAAATAGAAAACATGTTCTCCGTGTTTCTATAGAGTTATAGAAACACTCGTGAAAGTTTGGGAGAACTCGAAAAAGCTGTGGAAACACCCCCCTGCGGCTCGTGTTCCCACAGCATTTCTCGTTCTCCCAAACTTCCACTCGTGTTTCTATAACTCGATAGGAACAAGGTATTTGTGCAAACAAACTTTACTAAAGAAAGAGAACGAGAAAAAGTATTGTAAAAGCACGCCTATTTTTCCTTAGAGTGGATCCGAAATAGGTAACCTTATATGATTTTAGCTCTTGTGATGAAAGTCTGGTTTCTAGTATTGATAGAAGCTCCATATTTTTCTCACCTTGGCACACGAGCGATCGTGGCACGATAGTTCAGCATCTGGGATACCATCCAAGTCAGTGTCTAGTCCACAATATTTTCCATTACCTCCATAACCAATCTTACACTGTTAGAAAAAGACAAAATCTTTAAGAACTATGATTAGGTCTAATAGCGATGAACAGCAAAAAGGAAGAACAAGTTTAAAGAGCAATGGGTGAGCAGAACAGATCTGCGCAAGCACAAATGGGATGACCCAAGTGAAAACGAAATTCGACGCAAACACAAGCACAAGCAAAATCAACCGAACATTCCAAACTGTTTAGGCGCGAGGTAATCTGGATCCAGTGTTTTCATTGGCCAAACATAACAACGTGTGGTAAATATCCTTGTGCTTGTGTTATGCCTGAGCGGTATTTCGTTTTCACGATGAAATAAGAATTATCGTGTTTACGCTTGTTCTTGCGCTTGTGCTTGTGCTTGTGAAAGTGATTGCGTCGCTAGTGAAAACCAAGCTTAAAACTCCCTAGAGAAAAGCGAACGAGAGAACGAGCGAACGAGCGAACGAGCGAACGAGCGAACGATCGACTGAAGAACGGCGGGCTTTACGTACGAACAAACATACGAACGAACAAGCGACCGAACGAACGAACGAAAGAAGGAAGGCACGAACAAACGAACGCACGCACGCACGAACGAACAGACGAACGATCGAGCGAACGAACGAACGAACGAACGAATGAAAGAACAGACTGACAGACGGACGGGACAGGACGGGCGATACAGCGAACGAATATGAACGAGCGAACTGCGAAAGAATGAACGAGCAAAAGAGCGATCGAATGAAACACGGTAGAAATAATGAGCAACTTAAGTTGATCAAAGCACGATGCATTTATGAGGAATGGAAGAAAGAGAATCCGAAAGAATAGCTCACACTCGATATATCAAAATTCTAACATCATACCTGACACCATCTATTATAGGTGCCATGCTGGATTTTTTTTCCATCGAACGTGATCCGTTTAAGGCTTACCAGTAAGATTAGAATAAGTTGTTGAAAAAGAGATAGCTAGAGCTAAATTGCGACTTCCAAATAAAACCTGATAAGGTGATGGAATAAATACACCGTTTTAAATGTTGCCGAGCGGTTAGTATCCTTGAAAATTACAAGACTGATTTCGTACTTGGCAAACAAAGGCTCTTCCTCCTTCAGTCAGAATGCAGTCGGCGTTCTTGTCACAGGAACCATGTTCTTCAGAGCAGAAGTCAATTTGTTGCTGGTTTAGCAGCGATGGACCAGCAGCTCCTTTGTGACTGTTACCATTACAGTAACCGCACTCTTCCAGATATCTCCTTATGGTCTGAGAATCAGATGACTGTAACAGGAAAAAGAAAACATAGTGTAAGACAGCAATAAGATAAAAAAAAAACTTGACTGAAACACGCCTACTCTTGGAAATAAACTTTTCCTAAGGCCTTGTTCAGACTACGCCGGAGAAATTTCAAAATGGCGTTTTACTCTGAAAACGCATCAAATGTTTTCCGTCCACACTACACCGGAGAAATTTGAAGACGGCGTTTATTCTGAAAACGTATTAAATATTTTCCGTCCACACTACGCTGGGGAAATTTGAAAACGGCGTTTTTACTCTGAAAACGCATCAAATGTCTTCCGTCCACACTACGCCGGAGAAATTTGAAAACGCGTCGACAGAAACGCTTCAGTGCGCCCTCCAAGGTTAGGGTTAATCACATGATTTTAGTGGCGTCATCGTTTTCTAAAAAGCTCCGTTTTCAAAACGTTTTCCGTCCACACGAAAACGCAAAGCTGGCGCTTTTAAATTCCTCCAATTTCAGAAATACGGCCTATTCAACACTACGCCGGCGAAATTTGAACACGCAGCTTTATTTCTACGGTTAGACCTACCGTCCACAATAATCCGTCACGACAACGGAGCTTTCCGAAAACGCTATTCAAACTGGAGGAATTTGAAAACAACGGCGGTTAGGCGGCTCCTCCCAGCTTCCGACTACTGCCGAGCGGGAGGTAATCAAATCGTTGAGCACAGTTCAGACAACGAAACAGTGTTCGGCAGTAGTCGGAAGTTAGGAGGAGCCGCCGAACATTTGATTGACGGTAGCGAAAAACGCATTTGTCGGTTGAGCTTTGAATTTTAGAGTCCGCATGTTATTGAAAGGTGCAGAAAAATTCCTCGGGCGTAGTGTGAACGGAAAATATTTGATGCGGTTTTAGAGTGAAACCTCCGTTTTCAAATTTCTCCGGCGTAGTGTGGACGAGGTTTTAAAATTCTGGAAATCAATCGAAATGGAAATTCCAAGTAAGAAAGTTCGAAAATTAAGATATACAGCGCAAGGTTGGCCTCTTTTTCAGAAATATTCCGAAAAATTATGTTCCATTCGCCACGGGAAATTTCCAGAAATTTAATTAAATGACCGTTAGGTAATTTTTGGTCGAATAGAAAGCACTTACTTATCACATTTTTAATTACTAGCGTTAGAGTGCCTTGGACTTAACTTACAAAAGTGACACAAAAGTTTTGATAAAAATAACACAAACATCTCACTTGTAATGATACGTCATTTTTGATGTCTTCAAGGGCTTCCTCCAAGCCTTGCACCATTCCTGATAACTTGTCTATCTGATCTGTGTTATCTTTGCTCGGACAGGGCTGTTCAACTGATTCTTGAGGGAAAGCTTCTGTTGTTATAAAAAAAAAAAAGTCTCACAAATTGACCACTTATTCTTTTCCTCTCATCCTTTCTAGTTTCTAGAGTGATTAACATTTAAATGACTTGTTTTCGTGGTTTAAAAGCGATATTATTAAGGAAAAAAATTAATGTTTTTAATAGGAATTCAACAGATAATCAATCACTAGGGATGGAACTGAAAACTGTTAAGAGGTGGTTATAAGTCCTGCACCAATACAACTTCAGAAAGGGTTTTGGGAGTCGGCTTATAATCAGGGAAAGGTTAACTTAGAAGTCTGATTGATTGTTTGTTTGTTTTGCTAGCAGAAGGGTGGGGCTATGACCCTTATAGGGAAATCTTTGTTAAAAAATATCTGTCTGCTTAATTAGTCTTGGAATGAGTCAGAAAAATATCAACTCTGAATGTTGAAAGTGCATATATGATTTAAAAACTCAAAATTGTCAAAAAAACATATGGCCTCATTAGCCCTTTTGCCGCCCTTTTGAAGGCAAATATGGTAGGCAAAAAATCTCTATCAATATTGCACCCAAAGAGCTAAACTTTTCCCCAGTTTTTAAGTTTGCGAACTCTATATATTCCTCTACCCAAGGTCAATGAGGCAAAATTGAAATATGACCCAATAAGTAGGAAAGAGATGTGGGTGGGGTGGGTGTGTGGGGATTATAACTGGGCGTCATCCAAAGTTGAACAGGAAAGTTCTCTGAACTTTTAGTCCAAGCTAAAAAAAAACAAAATTTTGCTTCAATACTTACGAGAAAATGCAGTAGTAGCTTGTCTGCATCGCGACGGATTCACATACCAAGAATGATTTCTATTAAAAATCAGGCGAAGATCTCTCAGACTACCCTAAAAATACAGCGCAAAGATTTTAGAACAACTAAATTAAGCTTAAGTAGTAGTTTAATCAGCTTTCAAAAGCACAGATTTGCTACAGATATCTAAAATTAATGGCAAAATAGTAAATAGTTTAATTTTGAGCATTGGAAAAAAACAATCGCACCTAAAATTTAAGCTTACTCGCCTTCCATTTTGACCAAGATGACCTCTCGCCTCGTGCTCTTTGTCCAAGAAGGAAGCGAAGCGAGCGATTCCGAACATTGGCTGACAACTGTGAATTTATGTCCCACACTCCAATAAATTCACAATTTATAAAAAGCTCTACAGCTGACATCGTATCGTTTGAATCTGTTTTCCTGTAGATACGGACAATGATATTGTACCATTCCTCCGTATCAATGTTTAAGTGTTTGAAAGGCAATCCTCTCTCGCGGCCAACAGTCAACAACACTTTAATTCCAAGTTTACGTCGTGCAGAATCCGTCCAAAAGGCTAAAATCGCCTTGCCCGAATTTTTGTCCTCTAAAGAGAACACGGTATCCGTGCCAGAACGTTTTGCTGCCATTTTCAAGTTCGCAATTATCATGAACTCGTCATGCTGTTGTAGAAGAGTGGTAAGCTCTTGAACCACGTTGTCGGAAGCTAAAATTCTCGGTATTGCATCCGTCAATCGAAATTCAGTGAAACCTAGCTCCTGTTCACGATAAATCCCTGGAATCTGGGTATCCACCTGGAAAGCCTCCAACAAATTCACTTCTAAAAAGTTAAAAGTATTAATACAAGCCTGAGCTCAGGTAAAGAAAGAAAACAACATGATCATTGAATCTAAAAGTACTGCCGCCATTTTGCAAACCATGCAAGTTAAACCGAAGACAGTCAAGGCGATTGAAATGGTACCTACCTAACGAATTAGTGAATCGGAAAACACCTACGCACAAAAAGTAGCCAAGAAAAACTCGCAAAGGGATGAAAATCATGTTTTCTCTTTCAGAAACAGCTGTAAACTGCTATAAAAGAAGACCCGCAATTACAGGCCTGCTCTAGGTTTGATGACACGTTCCTTCAGATGAGTCCACGAGTCATTTTGCATGCTGGAATGTGAGTGGTGCTTTCACTAAAAGTGACAAAGGCAAAGCATTCAAAGGGTTTTACTGAATGCAACTTTTTTCCTATCGTGGGGTTGCCCTTGTTTGGTTTAACATAAACAATAAGTATTTTTGGCATGAAAAGGCAATCATCTTTGCATTTTCGGCTGACAAATCACTAACAAGTTTTTACAGAAGTACACAGAAGCAGTGAAAGTTTGGAGAATTTGCTAATCACATGGTTTCAGACGCCATCTTGCTGGGGGCAAACCCAGCAAAAATTGCAGTCAATGCATGGGAAAAATTAAAAGTTCGATGCCCAGTTAGTTGAGAGTAATAATTATTGACGTTCTGGGTATTTAATGAGTCACAAGGAGGCAGATAGCCAGCAGAGAGGTTTTTTTAATCAAATTTGGAGAACATAGATTTGCGTGAGGCGAGGAACTGTACTTTTAATTTTTTACACAAATGTCGCTAAATTTTCCCGCGAATTGCGACAAAGTTTTTACAGAGAAATGTATGGAAAAATGAAAACCTTCATTGTGGCTTTTCTAACGAAGCTATTTCTCTCAAATGTGATCAGTAAATTCTTTTACCTAGCAGCTTTTACCGGAAATGCTTAAAAAATTGCGTTGAATTGTTTGTCTTGAATTGAACTTCTCCATTAGAGATGGGGTGGGTGGAGAGAGCTCGCGCTGAGGTTTGTGCCTGGTAATTTGCCAGGACAGATAGTCGGTTCGCCCTGACTGCTAGCTCCGTGGTCAAAGGATCAACGGAGAAAGATAAATAAGCGTGTTTTGTGTAATTTTGTTTCATTATGCCCACAATGTTGTCTTTTTCGCTCGCTTAGCTTCTTTGAATTTAAAAGTCAGGGCGAACGGACTTTTAGTCCTTGGCGAACTGACATCGGGCGAAACGACTGGCCACCGACTAGTATTGCTATATCCCCTTCCCGAATGGGTTGCGAATCCATGGCAAAGTTACCCCGGCATAAATTCGCCGGTACCCATTTATTTACCTGCACTGTTATGGTAATATGCCTGCACAAGAACACAACACGGACCCTTGAGCCGAGGGCACTAAAAACATTTTGACTCTTATGCAGTTCTTTTTACATTTTTAGCTAGAACATTTTCGCACTGTCTTACTTGTTGGGAAGATGGGGGGATAGATCTAAGGCTCCAGGCTCTAAGATGGCGGCTGCTTAGATAACATGACGTAATTACACGTAATATGACGTCATCCATCCTGAGCAAACGCTTTTGGAGGAACTAAGCTGGGGTACTCTATAGTTAAAAGTTTCCTCGATCTAATACTCTTGAAGTATCATGTTGTTTACATGTGGTTCAAAAGTTATGTAGTTGTTGAAATAGTGCCAACTCAATGGAATAAGATTTTACAATAAACCTCTTCCGTGGAATCATCCTCTTTGTTACCAGAATAACCGCCTGTAAAACGCCTTTATAATCTGCAGTTTCAAACTGTCTTGATCCTTCTTGAATACGTTTCGGAGCCGGAAGAATACTCGTGGGAAAAATGACGTCCTTACATCTTTTCCTATAAATAGCCTTAAAGGTCTGGACACTAACGGTCAAGCATGAAATCGAGTCAACAGAAGATGAAGCAATGGCGGATGGTTGCCGTTGTAATAAGTTTGATAATTGTACTACTCATAGCTAATTTCAGGTGCGTTTATCTTGTTCCTTCTCAACTAGTATTGCAGTTTAAATCATTTTTAGCATTCCTTTTTCCACCATAGCATTCAAATTAAGAAAAGAAGTCTACGAAATGAGAATGTAAATGAGCCGAGCCCTGCTTCTGTCATCGATTTAAATGATACAGCTGGTCAGAAATCTTCGAAGAACACCAACAAAAGCTCTGTGGGTGAGTAGATTTAGTGCTTAAATAAACAATAAATGAATCTTTAAGCTTATATACGAAAATACCGCACGTGAACGGGCAGGCTAAAAAAAAAATTGCGAGACTTTCCCGCGTATAAACGTGTAGAAACAAAATTGATGACTTCAAGAATTTTCAAGCATATTTTTTTTATTTGCTTCTCAGCTTTATTATTTAAATTATAAATGCGTTGCGCATTTTTATTCTTTCTTATGTCACGAATCAGTTGATGTGCATAAAAGCATGCAATGTTTTTATGCACATTTTTTATGCAATATACACCTGGCAAAACACATAATAACAATAAAATGTGGTGGATAGATTATCATTAACATGGCATTGGGGAGAATTATTTAGCGATGTAAGTTACATGTATAAGCTTACATGTTAACAGGGAGTGTAGAAGAGTTTTTGTAGTTTAAGGTGGCTCAAAACACTAATATTTCCATGAGACGCCTGGGCTCTAACATGCGCTTCAGTGTGAGGCATCATGCAATAACCTGAGGGGCCGCAAGATAGCATGCAAGATTTTAAGTTTGCAAAACTCAAAACAAAACATTGCAACCTTAAGTTATGACCTAAACACAATGAAAGGTACAGTGGAGAGTTACCTTAGGAAAAAAAATAGCACAGCCATTCAAAACAGTTTAATTCCAAACCAGAAAATTCACAGCTAGTTCTATAAGTCTCAAAAAAACAGAAAACAGTTTTGAGCCACTTTAAATGATGCTGATTGAGGGCAAAATTAAAAAGGAAAACAAGACCTAACCCATTTGACAGGAACGTGAGGCCCTATCAGTAGAGGCTCTAGGGATACAGGATGTCTTTTGCGGAAAATTAATGAATTATGGTATATGTAGATCAAGTAAAGCAGGATATCAAGTGGGGCCATGAACATACTTTACGGCATTCCAGAAAATTCCAGGGAAGAGGAAATTAAAGATTCCTACAGCCTAGTATCAAATTGTTGCCATATTTTTGTCACCAGCCTTGCCCAACAGGGTCTGGTTGCCTTCTGCAAGGGGATCAGGTAATTTTTAAAAATATCCTACCATAAATACTGTATAAAAAAACAATGACATATTGTTACTTTGTGTAGAAAATGCAAAAGTGCAACCAAATTCCAATTGTTGGAAGAAGGAAGAAACACGCAGTCTTGCGGAATGTGTTCAATGCAGTGACTATGAAAAGGTAATTATACTATTAAGTACTGGAAATAATAACCGAGTAATATCTCAGGGTTGTTAATCTCATTGGAATTAATGACTTGATGACAACCATGCTGCAGTAATTCTGTATACCAGCTGAAAACATTGTGATCCTTCAGAAAATATCTTAACCCTCCCACAGAGGGGATTTTGTGGTTTGACCCCTCTCCCTAGTGCCCAACTCACGATCCATTTTACCCCAAAATTCACAAATTTGAAAACTGGGAGTAGGGGCTGTAGCACCCCCCCCCCCACCCCTCCAAGCCCATATACACCTTAACAGTGTATGACCAAAAGGTGAGATACAGTCAAACCCCTATTAAGTGGCCACATATCAAAGTCCCAAACACCACCTCCCATTTTGCAGAGGGTGACCGCTTGATAGGGGCTTGACTGTATTCCCAAAAGAAGCCACCCTCCAAACATAGTTACAGGGTAAAGCTGCTGAATCCAAAATCAGGATGGGAGGGGAAGGAGAGGTAGAATACCGTACATGTTATGTATATTTAGTTAGTTATTGGGGTAGTACTTTGTGTCTAACATTTCAAACCCAAATGTCTTTTTGAAATATTGGAAACAAACTTCCATAATGCACACGCTTAGCATATCATGATACTGTAAACAGCGGCAGATAAGCTGCAACCCAAGTTTGCAGCTCAAATTTTGAAAGAAGTTTTTGGAAAGAGATCAAAATAAACCAAAAGTGGAGTCTTGAGAAACTTAAGATGCATTTTACATTCATTGATTTATTGAATGTAAACCTGTGTAAACTCACTAAACATTTAAAAACAGAGAATACTGTAATAGTATGGACATGATGTTTACTGACTTTGACATGTCTGATCTTTCTCTGGTATTTTGCCTTTTCTGTCAGTTTTTCATTAGAATTTTATGCACAACAACAAGAATGCTTTTATTTGTTTGTTTTTTTCATTCATTTGTAGCTTAGTAGCCAGACATTTGACCAAGTAATGATAATGGAAACTCTGAAAGTTTTGATGAAAAATGTTAATTCATGCAATTTCATGGCACTTTGTCCAGATGTTCTCACAGATAAGCCATGTCCCCAATTTGTTAGGAAAATTTTTAGTAAAAAGATGCAGCTTATCTGCCGGTGTTTTCAGTAATCAATCAGCAAAAGGGTTCAAATTGTTTTTTATAATTCTTTGTCACCGATCAATCAGTGTGGACTTGGAGTACAAAAATGTCACAAGTCAAGGCCACTTCAACACTCATTCATGAAAATCAATAGAAAAGTTTAAATCCGTTTTGTTTAATTTATGCTTTTGCTCTTTTCTTAACAGAGGACAATTAAAGGATGTTTACAGACTGGAAATATACAGCTTTCATACTGTGTTGATTCAAATGTGAAATTTTATGCGAGGTAATTTTGCAGTCTGCCATTCTGTATTTAACAAGGGGATTTTTGTTCTTGGACAAAAATAATTTCATTTGTAAGTTGTTAATATTTTTCTGTCAGTCTTTTTTACACTGACTACATCTTTGATAACACACTCGCTCAGTCAATCCGTTTCATGTGGTAGCACACATACACTGTAATGAGGCCACTGTGAAATGTCAGAGACCTTCACTAGTTCTGCTTCCTGTCTTTTTCTTTATTTGTAGCCTCTCCATCGCTTACTCCATATTTCTGCATCTCTTTCTTTAGTCTCCATCACCAGGTTTCTCTCAGTCTTCTGTCTTTAAACATAAAGCACTAGTTAAATAGTCCTGTTTACAAACTCAAAATATTTGTTTTATTTTCTACATGTAGCTGTAAATATATTGTAGAATGGGAAGAGAAAAAGTTCTGGATGTTTGAGGTATTGCTTGTGAGAATAATAATTGTATACATGTATACACATGTGTTGTGAATTTGTGGTGTATTCAGTGGACATCTCAATTATTCTGACATCATAAAATTATGCTTGTTATAAAAATTAATCAATAAATAAACACAGAACATGTGGAAACAACAGGTTGAATGTGTGTTTAACTCACTGGGTTATTCTGTCATGTTTTCAGCATTCCTGGTTTAAACTAATGAACTTGCCTCAATCCTCTTGATCAAATGCACTTTTTTATACTGATTTTATATTAATTCATTAATTCATTAATTCATGAACTGTTGTACACCCTAGTAGCAGGGGTTTCATAAAGGGCCAGGCAACAGGCAAATTGACCAGCTGTGAAGATGATTTTGCCTGCCTGGTTTGACAATCTAAGGAAAGTTTTTCTTATAAAGAAGTTCACTTCAAGAACTTTTGGCCGCCTGTGAAAACCAGTCACCCTCCTACTGAAAACGTTTTCCCTGTTGCAAGGGCCTTCTGCAAAATCATTCACCTCTGCAAATAAAGCTTCATATAAGATGATTTTTTTGTTCACTTTGTTGTTCTTTAGGAGAAGTGAATGTTTAAATGTACACTCAATCTGACTCAAGTGGTTTAATTATAATTAAAATATAATGGCATTGACTTTTAAATCCAAAATGTTTGTCACACAAACCACATACTTTACCCCTTTACATGTAATTTTGGGCAACATAATAGACCATAAGTGATTTGTATTCCCAGTACTGGACTGAGAGTAGCTTGCATTTGGAAAGACTCCCTGCATAAGCCTTGGTTGCAAGCTAGTTCCAGTCCACTAGCAACAATATGAATATGGTCTATGGTTGCAATGTCAATTTCTTTATAAATCTCTTGCCAGGGTATTGTGCTTATCATGTTAATGTTTCACTGTTTACTTAATATTTATATATTTTTTGTTGTAGTTTTGTTGTATTTCTTTATCTCTTGCCAGGGTATTGTGCTTATCATGTTAATATGTTCCTCCTCAATGGTATGGTACAGACAAAGACAGCTTGACAGCGTGTTCTACCAGAAACTTCAAAAACAAGTGGAGAGCGACACTATATAGTAGTACGTGAATATATTACAACAACAATGAAATGCAAGTTCACAGTCCGAGCCAAGCCATATTCCTGTACAGTACTGAACAATGTATATTTTTATTTATTTGATTTGGAGGAATATGCTGGGTATGATTTGTAACTATAGTTTTAAAGGAAAACAAGTGAAAGGAAGTCACTGGCTCAAGAATGGCACAAGAATATGTTTTAAAGGAAATCATTGCCCGTGGAGATTGTATTTTGACAGGCCACTGTTTCCATGCAGATTATACATGGCTCCAAAGCAGAATTGTGTGTCCCAATTTGGAGACATTTTTATGATTGACTCATGCAGATAATTTGTAATGTTATGGACAGTGGCCCTTTTCACAGTTAGCTTTTGGCATGTGCATTGCATCCCTCACAGGGATGTGAGGCAATTTCAGGAAGAAACTACCAAATTGCCTTGACTTGCCTTGCGTGCACACTGGAGTGTAATGCAAATGAGAAGGTTAAGCATGAAAAGGGTTACTTACAGCCCATGTTTTCCAGCAATGAGTAATTTACATGTAAAAACCAAGTACTGTTAATCTAGATGAAAACTCAGGTTTCACCTCTTTCCTTTTTGAAGTGGTTTTACCTCGAAAATATTTTAAGGTGATTGGCTCTGCTATACTACAGTACATGCAACATTTTTATTTGGTAGTATAGTTGATCTTCCCCCTTAAAAGTAGTCTTCTTTACAGCTGTTATTAGGGTTGTCACACAACGCCTTTCCCCACTTTGTGTGACAACCCTAATAACGGCTGTGAAGAAGACTACCTTAAAAGCAGCCATTTCATTTTTATTTAGTACATGTACTTTCACATGTATTTCTCACACAGTAAAGTTTTACTTGTCACAACTGGGATGTTTAAGTTTATGTTTTCTTTATTTCCTACATACTTCTATGTGTATGTGTATTGATTGACTTCAATAGCCTGATTTTCGAGTTGTCCCTCCATCTGAGCTCAATTTTTCCCCTTCAAGAGATGTCAGAGAGTTCCCCTTAGAATTTAATCCATAACTGCTTTTCATGATCTTTAGTGTCCTACAGAGACACATAGTCTTTAAATAATAGCTTCTAGGCTGTTTTTGAGAAATTCGTAACTCAGCTTTGACCAGGCAGAGGCACTATATTGAATTTGCTCAAACATAATCATCATCATCATAATCATTGTCACCACTATCATCGCCACATCTTGCAGGGAAGAACTGAGCTTCCGAGTAGAGATTTTTCAGAGCTATCCATTCCAATAACAGAATGGTTTTATAAGAAAAAGTACAACAAGTGATGCATACAAAGTCATGTGCATAGGCATTATAGTTGCCATTTATTTACTAATATATATCTAAAACAAAACAATGTTGTAATAAAGAGAGTAATAAAATGGACTTACAGTATGGTAAATAAAGAGAAATTGGTTCTCAACTAACCACTTCACATTGTTTTCATTTTTGCTAGAATATAATGTGTTATGCACAGTGAATCTCATTATGTACCTTATATTTTCAACAATATAATTCCCAAGCCTGTAAATAGAAGCCAGTCATCAGATGATAATAATATAATTAGCATTGACCAGTGAAATTTTAGTTTGGCCTGACAGATTTACCTCAAGCAATCTGAAACATTCAATTTTGTAGGAAATTAAAAATATATATATACGTATCTTATGGTATGTCTTATGAGGTCAAGCATTGAGAATATAAAGAGTCCATTTCATGCCTAGACATCAGAACAGTAGATGTAAAACTAGTGTACATTGTATATACTAATTATGGTCAACCTGACATGAAATGGAAGTAGCTAAGACGTGTTTTCCTTCATTCTGAGCAGAAATGTGATGCATAGTAGCTCTTTCGGTCCCAGATTTTTCTTGGACCAATATCAACTCTTTCTTAACATTCTGACTTATCCAGAACTCAAATTAACATGTTACAACACTGAAAAACAGACTATCCCATCCATGAGAGCATGTGCAACAGTCATTAATCCCACTGACTGGAGAAACACTGGCTCTGCACAAGAATTGCTACTGTTGGAAAGTGTTTGAAGCGAGTACAAAGTAAAAAGAGGGTAAATTACAAGTATATCCAAAAAGATAGTTAATTATGTACTGGGTACTTGACTAAAGCAGCAAGGAACTTTAATTGCATGAGAAATAACAGTTTCAGCATAAGAGCATACAAAAGAATTCATTTGAGTCTCATGCTCAATGCCTTAGACTTGAGAGCTCTGCAATAATAATTTAATTAGCATTTTGACCACCAAAAGTTTAGTCTGATCTGAAAAATTTTGATTAGCTCAAACAATCTATTTTCCTGGAAATTAAAACTATATATTATGGTACGTCTCAAGATGCCAAGTGTTGACAGACTGTGGGAGTCCGTTTCATTCCTGAACAATAAGACGGTCATGAACAGTGAACTAATTATGATCTAACATGAAATTGTCTGACCAGAAAAAAACTTCCTTTGTAGCCAAAATTACACCAGGATTAAATAGAATGCTCAAAAGGAAAATATTTCCACAACTGTCCCTACTTAGCAGGGGGTACAGTACTTCCTAGTAATACGCTAATAGGGATGTGCAGCTGGATGGGGTTGCATTTTCTCGACTGGATTGGCTATAATTGGGTTAGATTTTCAAACGAGTTACTAGTAAGAATTGGATGGCCCATGTTCAGGATTTTGGGGGTAAGAAACATCTGGCAAGTAGCTATTTGAAAATTGGAAGATAAATCAATATGGGGTGAAAATTTTGTTTGCAAGTGCTCTACATTCAGGTTGACAAATGTGTCATTTCATTTTAGGCCTTGTAAGGTAGATGAATGAACAGAAAGTGACTAACTTGGAATTTCCAGGCCAGTGGCACATACATGTATACAGCAAAAATTGAACCCCACCCAATGCCAGGGTCCCTTGCCCACCCCCACGGTATAACAGCTGTTACATAACTAAATACAATTTATGGAATGAATCCCCAACAGTGCGAGAATAAGTTCAAAGTCAAGTATTAACTTGTAGACAGCAAAGCTAAGATCTCAGCATTTCCGTAAGTGACAGCTGAAGTTGTCTCTTGTTGAGTTCCCTCATTCTTACTGCTCCTTACATAGTTCTCGGCATCAGCCAACATTGCTTTTGCAACTTTTGCCACAGAAATGGTGCTCATCACCCAACCTGAGATTTAAATAAAAATACATAAATAAGCAAATAGTTTTAATTAATAGGTTACAACAGGGTTCAATAAAAACTTGAATTACAGCTTGCTCTTTGAACAAGCAGCTCTCAAATTTTGGTTGCCCCAGGCAAGTCTTGGTTTACTTTTGCTTTGATTTAGTAAGAGGACTTGTAGTTTACTTGAGGCTCTCAATGGGATTAACCGTAAGCCGTAAAACAGCCCAAAAATTTAGCTGTTAGGTGTAAATAATTGGAAAGTTTTTATTAATATTTTTTTGAACAATCATGGTAAGTAATCTCTAATTAAAAATTTCTGTTAAGCATAGACCCTTTTCATAAACGGCTGCCAATTTAAAATTCTTTTGTATGCATTTAAATTAGCCTTACTAAGCTTGTTTCAGAATAAAAATTCTTTTGAATTACCAACTTCAAAATGAGGTTAGTAAGGCTAACTTTAATACTTGCAAAAGAATTTATAATTGGCCGCCATTTATGAAAGTGGTCTATAAGGAAACAAATTAACTGTTTGGTCATAAAAAGAAGCCAAAATATTAATCGTTAGCTGTATGAGCCACCACTCATTGAGACCCTCTTACTTGGGCCCTTGGGCAAGTGAGAATGAAAAGTAACATGCTGGCAAGAAAATCCACTTGTCCTTGATAAGTACATGTAGACAGCACTTTTTTTGAGTCCTGGTGCAAGGAGTAGTCTCTTTTTTTTTCCCTTAGCTTAGTTGAGTTAGAAGGAGAAAAAGGACGAAAAATACCAGCGGAACACCTATAGCCATTCTACAAGTATCACAAGCAGGTTAGCTGAAAAATTATGGCATTTTCCTTTTCTGAATTCAGTGGGGAAAAAATCCATGATACTGTAGCAATTTGAAAACACTATCAATCTAGCTGCCAATGAGCTGCCAAAACCTTGATAAACAGATGGCCGTTTGTTAATACTATATACTACTGTAGTTTTTACATAACATTCTGCTCGAATATTTTGCCATTACAAAAGGCATTACTTACCAGCCAACTTCTCTCCAAATCTTTTTTTGGTACCTCTATCAAGAACACCAGGTCTGAATATGCTTGTTTTTGGAAAATGCATTTCTTTCAAGGCATCCTCTACCTAAAAATGATATTTGATTTTATTACCAGTCGGTGTTTTTGTTGTTTTATAACTTAATAATAATCCATTTCGTTTGGTCGAGTTGCATAGCTCAGTTGTGTTGCATTGCATTGCTTAAATATGTTGCATTGTGTTTCGTGACGTTGTAGTCTCATTTCATTTGTCAATTTGTGAGAGCTTCAGCACATATTTTAACAGACTCGAAAGCCCACTTGACTCATATTAAATGTAAATTAGTCAATGGCTCAGCTGGGATGTCATCCCCCTACCCTCCCAGAGATGTGTTCCCACAAGATTATGTTTTTTAACAATTTGCTATTTCTCACTTATAATTAAATTTTATTTCCATTAATAATTTAAATATTTCTAATAATTTATAAGTATCACAGAACATTTTCATAGTTTACCTCGCCTTTAGTTTTGAGATAAAGGAAAAGACTGGATGATTTTGCTCCTTGAGAAGATATATATGTCATGTGAGGAACACTGGCTTCTTTGGCAATTTTTGCACAATTAACAACATAGTCATAATCCACATGTCTGAAAGCAGCCTAAAAATAGAATAACAGAAAGAAGCATTAATAAAGATGTTTAGGAAAACAACTATTAATACATTCTTGGTTCACTCTGACCATCATTCTGAGAGTTGAACAACATGTAACATNCTGTGAAATGTCAGAGACCTTCACTAGTTCTGCTTCCTGTCTTTTTCTTTATTTGTAGCCTCTCCATCGCTTACTCCATATTTCTGCATCTCTTTCTTTAGTCTCCATCACCAGGTTTCTCTCAGTCTTCTGTCTTTAAACATAAAGCACTAGTTAAATAGTCCTGTTTACAAACTCAAAATATTTGTTTTATTTTCTACATGTAGCTGTAAATATATTGTAGAATGGGAAGAGAAAAAGTTCTGGATGTTTGAGGTATTGCTTGTGAGAATAATAATTGTATACATGTATACACATGTGTTGTGAATTTGTGGTGTATTCAGTGGACATCTCAATTATTCTGACATCATAAAATTATGCTTGTTATAAAAATTAATCAATAAATAAACACAGAACATGTGGAAACAACAGGTTGAATGTGTGTTTAACTCACTGGGTTATTCTGTCATGTTTTCAGCATTCCTGGTTTAAACTAATGAACTTGCCTCAATCCTCTTGATCAAATGCACTTTTTTATACTGATTTTATATTAATTCATTAATTCATTAATTCATGAACTGTTGTACACCCTAGTAGCAGGGGTTTCATAAAGGGCCAGGCAACAGGCAAATTGACCAGCTGTGAAGATGATTTTGCCTGCCTGGTTTGACAATCTAAGGAAAGTTTTTCTTATAAAGAAGTTCACTTCAAGAACTTTTGGCCGCCTGTGAAAACCAGTCACCCTCCTACTGAAAACGTTTTCCCTGTTGCAAGGGCCTTCTGCAAAATCATTCACCTCTGCAAATAAAGCTTCATATAAGATGATTTTTTTGTTCACTTTGTTGTTCTTTAGGAGAAGTGAATGTTTAAATGTACACTCAATCTGACTCAAGTGGTTTAATTATAATTAAAATATAATGGCATTGACTTTTAAATCCAAAATGTTTGTCACACAAACCACATACTTTACCCCTTTACATGTAATTTTGGGCAACATAATAGACCATAAGTGATTTGTATTCCCAGTACTGGACTGAGAGTAGCTTGCATTTGGAAAGACTCCCTGCATAAGCCTTGGTTGCAAGCTAGTTCCAGTCCACTAGCAACAATATGAATATGGTCTATGGTTGCAATGTCAATTTCTTTATAAATCTCTTGCCAGGGTATTGTGCTTATCATGTTAATGTTTCACTGTTTACTTAATATTTATATATTTTTTGTTGTAGTTTTGTTGTATTTCTTTATCTCTTGCCAGGGTATTGTGCTTATCATGTTAATATGTTCCTCCTCAATGGTATGGTACAGACAAAGACAGCTTGACAGCGTGTTCTACCAGAAACTTCAAAAACAAGTGGAGAGCGACACTATATAGTAGTACGTGAATATATTACAACAACAATGAAATGCAAGTTCACAGTCCGAGCCAAGCCATATTCCTGTACAGTACTGAACAATGTATATTTTTATTTATTTGATTTGGAGGAATATGCTGGGTATGATTTGTAACTATAGTTTTAAAGGAAAACAAGTGAAAGGAAGTCACTGGCTCAAGAATGGCACAAGAATATGTTTTAAAGGAAATCATTGCCCGTGGAGATTGTATTTTGACAGGCCACTGTTTCCATGCAGATTATACATGGCTCCAAAGCAGAATTGTGTGTCCCAATTTGGAGACATTTTTATGATTGACTCATGCAGATAATTTGTAATGTTATGGACAGTGGCCCTTTTCACAGTTAGCTTTTGGCATGTGCATTGCATCCCTCACAGGGATGTGAGGCAATTTCAGGAAGAAACTACCAAATTGCCTTGACTTGCCTTGCGTGCACACTGGAGTGTAATGCAAATGAGAAGGTTAAGCATGAAAAGGGTTACTTACAGCCCATGTTTTCCAGCAATGAGTAATTTACATGTAAAAACCAAGTACTGTTAATCTAGATGAAAACTCAGGTTTCACCTCTTTCCTTTTTGAAGTGGTTTTACCTCGAAAATATTTTAAGGTGATTGGCTCTGCTATACTACAGTACATGCAACATTTTTATTTGGTAGTATAGTTGATCTTCCCCCTTAAAAGTAGTCTTCTTTACAGCTGTTATTAGGGTTGTCACACAACGCCTTTCCCCACTTTGTGTGACAACCCTAATAACGGCTGTGAAGAAGACTACCTTAAAAGCAGCCATTTCATTTTTATTTAGTACATGTACTTTCACATGTATTTCTCACACAGTAAAGTTTTACTTGTCACAACTGGGATGTTTAAGTTTATGTTTTCTTTATTTCCTACATACTTCTATGTGTATGTGTATTGATTGACTTCAATAGCCTGATTTTCGAGTTGTCCCTCCATCTGAGCTCAATTTTTCCCCTTCAAGAGATGTCAGAGAGTTCCCCTTAGAATTTAATCCATAACTGCTTTTCATGATCTTTAGTGTCCTACAGAGACACATAGTCTTTAAATAATAGCTTCTAGGCTGTTTTTGAGAAATTCGTAACTCAGCTTTGACCAGGCAGAGGCACTATATTGAATTTGCTCAAACATAATCATCATCATCATAATCATTGTCACCACTATCATCGCCACATCTTGCAGGGAAGAACTGAGCTTCCGAGTAGAGATTTTTCAGAGCTATCCATTCCAATAACAGAATGGTTTTATAAGAAAAAGTACAACAAGTGATGCATACAAAGTCATGTGCATAGGCATTATAGTTGCCATTTATTTACTAATATATATCTAAAACAAAACAATGTTGTAATAAAGAGAGTAATAAAATGGACTTACAGTATGGTAAATAAAGAGAAATTGGTTCTCAACTAACCACTTCACATTGTTTTCATTTTTGCTAGAATATAATGTGTTATGCACAGTGAATCTCATTATGTACCTTATATTTTCAACAATATAATTCCCAAGCCTGTAAATAGAAGCCAGTCATCAGATGATAATAATATAATTAGCATTGACCAGTGAAATTTTAGTTTGGCCTGACAGATTTACCTCAAGCAATCTGAAACATTCAATTTTGTAGGAAATTAAAAATATATATATACGTATCTTATGGTATGTCTTATGAGGTCAAGCATTGAGAATATAAAGAGTCCATTTCATGCCTAGACATCAGAACAGTAGATGTAAAACTAGTGTACATTGTATATACTAATTATGGTCAACCTGACATGAAATGGAAGTAGCTAAGACGTGTTTTCCTTCATTCTGAGCAGAAATGTGATGCATAGTAGCTCTTTCGGTCCCAGATTTTTCTTGGACCAATATCAACTCTTTCTTAACATTCTGACTTATCCAGAACTCAAATTAACATGTTACAACACTGAAAAACAGACTATCCCATCCATGAGAGCATGTGCAACAGTCATTAATCCCACTGACTGGAGAAACACTGGCTCTGCACAAGAATTGCTACTGTTGGAAAGTGTTTGAAGCGAGTACAAAGTAAAAAGAGGGTAAATTACAAGTATATCCAAAAAGATAGTTAATTATGTACTGGGTACTTGACTAAAGCAGCAAGGAACTTTAATTGCATGAGAAATAACAGTTTCAGCATAAGAGCATACAAAAGAATTCATTTGAGTCTCATGCTCAATGCCTTAGACTTGAGAGCTCTGCAATAATAATTTAATTAGCATTTTGACCACCAAAAGTTTAGTCTGATCTGAAAAATTTTGATTAGCTCAAACAATCTATTTACCTGGAAATTAAAACTATATATTATGGTACGTCTCAAGATGCCAAGTGTTGACAGACTGTGGGAGTCCGTTTCATTCCTGAACAATAAGACGGTCATGAACAGTGAACTAATTATGATCTAACATGAAATTGTCTGACCAGAAAAAAACTTCCTTTGTAGCCAAAATTACACCAGGATTAAATAGAATGCTCAAAAGGAAAATATTTCCACAACTGTCCCTACTTAGCAGGGGGTACAGTACTTCCTAGTAATACGCTAATAGGGATGTGCAGCTGGATGGGGTTGCATTTTCTCGACTGGATTGGCTATAATTGGGTTAGATTTTCAAACGAGTTACTAGTAAGAATTGGATGGCCCATGTTCAGGATTTTGGGGGTAAGAAACATCTGGCAAGTAGCTATTTGAAAATTGGAAGATAAATCAATATGGGGTGAAAATTTTGTTTGCAAGTGCTCTACATTCAGGTTGACAAATGTGTCATTTCATTTTAGGCCTTGTAAGGTAGATGAATGAACAGAAAGTGACTAACTTGGAATTTCCAGGCCAGTGGCACATACATGTATACAGCAAAAATTGAACCCCACCCAATGCCAGGGTCCCTTGCCCACCCCCACGGTATAACAGCTGTTACATAACTAAATACAATTTATGGAATGAATCCCCAACAGTGCGAGAATAAGTTCAAAGTCAAGTATTAACTTGTAGACAGCAAAGCTAAGATCTCAGCATTTCCGTAAGTGACAGCTGAAGTTGTCTCTTGTTGAGTTCCCTCATTCTTACTGCTCCTTACATAGTTCTCGGCATCAGCCAACATTGCTTTTGCAACTTTTGCCACAGAAATGGTGCTCATCACCCAACCTGAGATTTAAATAAAAATACATAAATAAGCAAATAGTTTTAATTAATAGGTTACAACAGGGTTCAATAAAAACTTGAATTACAGCTTGCTCTTTGAACAAGCAGCTCTCAAATTTTGGTTGCCCCAGGCAAGTCTTGGTTTACTTTTGCTTTGATTTAGTAAGAGGACTTGTAGTTTACTTGAGGCTCTCAATGGGATTAACCGTAAGCCGTAAAACAGCCCAAAAATTTAGCTGTTAGGTGTAAATAATTGGAAAGTTTTTATTAATATTTTTTTGAACAATCATGGTAAGTAATCTCTAATTAAAAATTTCTGTTAAGCATAGACCCTTTTCATAAACGGCTGCCAATTTAAAATTCTTTTGTATGCATTTAAATTAGCCTTACTAAGCTTGTTTCAGAATAAAAATTCTTTTGAATTACCAACTTCAAAATGAGGTTAGTAAGGCTAACTTTAATACTTGCAAAAGAATTTATAATTGGCCGCCATTTATGAAAGTGGTCTATAAGGAAACAAATTAACTGTTTGGTCATAAAAAGAAGCCAAAATATTAATCGTTAGCTGTATGAGCCACCACTCATTGAGACCCTCTTACTTGGGCCCTTGGGCAAGTGAGAATGAAAAGTAACATGCTGGCAAGAAAATCCACTTGTCCTTGATAAGTACATGTAGACAGCACTTTTTTTGAGTCCTGGTGCAAGGAGTAGTCTCTTTTTTTTTCCCTTAGCTTAGTTGAGTTAGAAGGAGAAAAAGGACGAAAAATACCAGCGGAACACCTATAGCCATTCTACAAGTATCACAAGCAGGTTAGCTGAAAAATTATGGCATTTTCCTTTTCTGAATTCAGTGGGGAAAAAATCCATGATACTGTAGCAATTTGAAAACACTATCAATCTAGCTGCCAATGAGCTGCCAAAACCTTGATAAACAGATGGCCGTTTGTTAATACTATATACTACTGTAGTTTTTACATAACATTCTGCTCGAATATTTTGCCATTACAAAAGGCATTACTTACCAGCCAACTTCTCTCCAAATCTTTTTTTGGTACCTCTATCAAGAACACCAGGTCTGAATATGCTTGTTTTTGGAAAATGCATTTCTTTCAAGGCATCCTCTACCTAAAAATGATATTTGATTTTATTACCAGTCGGTGTTTTTGTTGTTTTATAACTTAATAATAATCCATTTCGTTTGGTCGAGTTGCATAGCTCAGTTGTGTTGCATTGCATTGCTTAAATATGTTGCATTGTGTTTCGTGACGTTGTAGTCTCATTTCATTTGTCAATTTGTGAGAGCTTCAGCACATATTTTAACAGACTCGAAAGCCCACTTGACTCATATTAAATGTAAATTAGTCAATGGCTCAGCTGGGATGTCATCCCCCTACCCTCCCAGAGATGTGTTCCCACAAGATTATGTTTTTTAACAATTTGCTATTTCTCACTTATAATTAAATTTTATTTCCATTAATAATTTAAATATTTCTAATAATTTATAAGTATCACAGAACATTTTCATAGTTTACCTCGCCTTTAGTTTTGAGATAAAGGAAAAGACTGGATGATTTTGCTCCTTGAGAAGATATATATGTCATGTGAGGAACACTGGCTTCTTTGGCAATTTTTGCACAATTAACAACATAGTCATAATCCACATGTCTGAAAGCAGCCTAAAAATAGAATAACAGAAAGAAGCATTAATAAAGATGTTTAGGAAAACAACTATTAATACATTCTTGGTTCACTCTGACCATCATTCTGAGAGTTGAACAACATGTAACATTGGTAAACATAACAAGGTGAACCTCCTCCACTCCCTCTCCAGCAAGAAGACAACAGAAAGGTAAAATGTAGATTTATAAACAGGAACCTTTCCTGTTTGGAAAGAAATTAAGCGTATGTCACGAAACAGTGACGTGCAGTGATGTAGATGCTGCGAAGGAGACTAGGAAAGGGTTAAAAAAGATTTGGCTTGTATCTGTCAGACATGTATAGTCTTAAAGCGTTGGTAACAGCTTTTAATTATTATATAATACTTAATAACCTTTTGCTTTGGGCATGAGGTCAGGAGGAAAGATCCTTGTGAAAGTTTACCATCAACATCACTATTTTCAGTTATAAAGAAGCATTGTTTATTACTTGTTGCATTGTAATTTTTCCTCTTTAAGACATTTTTTTATGAAGAGTAATTTCATATAATTTTATGCAAAGGTTAACTCATGTCAATCATTATGCACAGGGAAATTCACAGGTTTGCTCATAGAAAAATTTGATCTTCATTCCTATCGCTTTAACCACACTCAGCTGATAATAATTTAACATAGAGTTGGGAGAAAAATAGTTAAATTTATCATTTACCACTAGAAATTTGAGGGTTAGTTACCGTAAGCTTGAACTGTTATAATAATTACCAATAAATTAGCAATTATGACTTACAGCTGACCCAGCGGCACGTCGAGTGGTACCCAAAGTACAAAAGAAAACATCTTTGTCCTCAAATTGTGGCCCAACTGTTTCACTGCTTATTGCCTCAAAGTCTGGTATTATGAACAAAAGAAAGGCTACTAAATACTCTCTTTCAATCCATATGTCAATAAAGATGCAAAGCTTGTCGAACAGGCTTGCCACTTCCCATTCATAATGATTGAGTTTTTCAAGGTTTTCCAAGCCTTTTTCAGTTTCTGGAATGCATTCAGAAAATAAGGCCAATGACACCTGGAGAAAATCTTTGGGTGGGGGTGTGCCGTTGGTACACTGAAACCCTTACTGTATACTATACCATGATCAGCTTGATTTTGCAATCCTATTCTAGACTAGACACCAAAACCCTTACCCTATCCCATACTAGCTAATTTTCCATGCAGAAAGTTTATCACTTAATCGCAGTCCAACATTCACTGACTAATCCAAACATCTTACAAAGTCACTTCCGAGTTTCAATTTCTATTATAGAACCCCGGTAAAGAAACATGTTCTACACAAAATTATTTATACACTGTCCAATTTGCCTGTAAATTATACACTACTCTAGACCAAAACTGTCTGATTTCTATTTTGTTTATTTATTTATTTATTTATTTATTTATTTATTCAATTTCGCCAGTTACTAAAAATTAATATACTAACTTATATACATTAAAAATTCATTATGCAGGGAGACCACTACAGCGTAGCAAATTATAGTGGATCCCAGGGTACTGATAAGAATTCTTTTCTATTACCCTATCCCAGACTAAACTGCCTGAAAACCATACCCTTCACAGCAGCACATACTGTACCCATTTATAATAATTATATGGGAATACCCTCACCCCCCACTCGGCCAATGACCAGAGGACACAGAAATAATATGAATTTGTTAATAACTGATATGTCCGGTAAAGTTCAAACATAAATGAGGGGCATTTCAAAAGAACGTGAGCACAGTTTGCAAGTTTGTATGCCTGCTCTTAAACACACTTGCAAGAAAACAAGAAAAAACAACCACCTCTGTTAAATTATGTGATTCCAAAAAATATCATTACCCACCCCATGGAGGGTTGATTATTAGAAATAACAAGTGGGAGGGGGATTTCAAAAGCCAAAATTAAACCAAAACTAGAATTTTCAGACAGATGAAGAGATTCCAAACAAAAAACAAATATTTTATGACCAATGGGTATAACATTTTGTGACACAAATTACCCTCAATGAAAGTTTAATTATCATGTACTTTACAAATTGAAGGAATAAAAAAGAATTGAAAAATATTTCTGTACCCACAACAAGTTGTTCAAGCCTCCCTGACTCTTCTTCAGCTTTTTGGTCAATAGAGTACCCTTCAGGAACCGTGGCATTTCTCCGTCCCAAAGAAACAACTTTTGACACATTCTGCAAGATTTCATTAACATTAGTACAATTTGAAGAACTTTTTTTCAGGCCGAGTGCGGACGCCATGCTTCAGCTGTGCCAAACTAAATTCTGGAATTAAGTTTGACAAAAGCACACCAGAAGTACGGCATCTGAATCAAACTTTGAAATTAAATTCAGTAGCAGTTAAGTTCGATGGACAAGCTCTGCTGTACTACACGACTCTGGCACACGTTAATATTATGTTGTATCTTAGCGGGATTGCATTTCCAGGGGGAGTTATAAGGAGAATTGTTACATCATGGCTTCAGTAAATCCTAAATGACACAACATCTGAATCAGGGTCGTGTTTCTGCTGTGTTACTGTCCGACCTACTTGGATTTGAATTTGCACTGCACAAATCTTCTGAGCTTGGGTGTACTAAAAATAATTGCCATGTTTATTTTGGTCAGACTCACAAGTACAGGCATTAAAATTTCGCTGTGGCTACATGTCCGGCAGCCGGACAGGTTTCTTAAAATACTCCGTGTCCGGCAGTGAGACTTTTTTAAAAGTAAAACAATCTAAAATGAACATTATGACAGGCAACCCCAAGAGGAATCGAACTCAGGTCGACGGCCTTGTAAGCAATACTGATGACCACTGTGCCACCACAACTGGCCGGCAATTTTCAGAATTTTTTAAGTATTTATCAAGTTACCCTTACTGAAACAGGCTAACCGCAGAGCTATTTAGACTAACCAGAGTACTTTTTAGGCTAACTGGAGTGCTTTAAAGGCTAACCGGAGTGCTTTTTTAGGTTAACCGGAGTGCTGTTCAAACATTTTGACTGCCAGTCATTTTATAATAGTCTAAGTTATAAATCCCGATATACCGAGTGCCAGGCTCACCAAAATTAGTATTCAGCCATATAAACAAGGATTTGACATTATTAACTGAAATTTTTAAAAAATAACTTTGACTGTCGGACACAGAGTATTTTGAAAATCCTGTCCGGCTGCCAGACATAGAGCCACAGCGTTAAAATTTCGGTCGGTTGATGTGCATAAAATAACGTGACTGTGTGGGCAGGCCTGTAGCTATCCAAACACCGTTTGTTATTGGTCCACGAAATAATACAAAAATGATCCAAAGAATGCAATGCCCCTATCTCTGTAGCTGCAGCTGCAGGTTGCGAGAACCAAGGAGGTCTTCGGTCTTTGTTTTTGAGATTCGTAGGGAGTCTTGGGGCGGATACAGGATTTTAGATAAGGGGGTTCCAGAACGGGCCGCCAAAGGCCGAAACCCCTGATCCCGCCCACGGCCCTAGATCCGCCCCACCCAGGAGATCTTAGGTCTAGATCTTAGTTTTTGAGATTCGGTGGTGGTCTGATTTAAGTCTTAGATCATGTTAGGTCTTAGTTTTTTAGACACCCCAGCGTGCTATACGATACGTACGAATTTTGATCAAATAGCTTCAAAACATGCACTTTTGACGATGAGAACAGCAGGAAAGTTGGTATAAATAGCACAAACTTAAACGCTGGACAAGATATCCTTCCCATTAAACAAACCTTAGAGCACAAAAGTTCACCGAGCAAACACTCGCCGATAGCACCAGTAGCTCCAATCAACACAGCCCTCATCCCTAACGGTTCCTCTGAACTTTGTTGACTTTGTTGGGGAGTCGCTGCTCCTCCGTCCGCCATATTTCTTACTGGCCCATAACCCATTGCGCGCCTAGTCTCTATTGACCGCAACCTTACGTTCCCAGTTTCCCTCGGGGAACATTTGGGAAATCTTCTGTAAGCTTAACCCTATGGAAACCCACATCGGGGGTGTATTTTGACGTTTGTAAAGGCTGAGGTATTTCAAATGTCCTTCCTTTGCAACCCTTACGCCAAAGCCAAAAGTCACGCAAAACCTCGGAAGGAATCGCTTCGTGACGATATAGAGCCCGGGGGGTGGGGGTGGGGGGGTACTTGGGTCAATCTTTGTTGGGTATGTGCCACTGGCCTCTCAGAACCCCTACCCCATTGTAGTCATATTCTATGGCCAATTATAGACCCCATCTTAGTCACTTTTGGGTAAATNTCAGGATTTTGGGGGTAAGAAACATCTGGCAAGTAGCTATTTGAAAATTGGAAGATAAATCAATATGGGGTGAAAATTTTGTTTGCAAGTGCTCTACATTCAGGTTGACAAATGTGTCATTTCATTTTAGGCCTTGTAAGGTAGATGAATGAACAGAAAGTGACTAACTTGGAATTTCCAGGCCAGTGGCACATACATGTATACAGCAAAAATTGAACCCCACCCAATGCCAGGGTCCCTTGCCCACCCCCACGGTATAACAGCTGTTACATAACTAAATACAATTTATGGAATGAATCCCCAACAGTGCGAGAATAAGTTCAAAGTCAAGTATTAACTTGTAGACAGCAAAGCTAAGATCTCAGCATTTCCGTAAGTGACAGCTGAAGTTGTCTCTTGTTGAGTTCCCTCATTCTTACTGCTCCTTACATAGTTCTCGGCATCAGCCAACATTGCTTTTGCAACTTTTGCCACAGAAATGGTGCTCATCACCCAACCTGAGATTTAAATAAAAATACATAAATAAGCAAATAGTTTTAATTAATAGGTTACAACAGGGTTCAATAAAAACTTGAATTACAGCTTGCTCTTTGAACAAGCAGCTCTCAAATTTTGGTTGCCCCAGGCAAGTCTTGGTTTACTTTTGCTTTGATTTAGTAAGAGGACTTGTAGTTTACTTGAGGCTCTCAATGGGATTAACCGTAAGCCGTAAAACAGCCCAAAAATTTAGCTGTTAGGTGTAAATAATTGGAAAGTTTTTATTAATATTTTTTTGAACAATCATGGTAAGTAATCTCTAATTAAAAATTTCTGTTAAGCATAGACCCTTTTCATAAACGGCTGCCAATTTAAAATTCTTTTGTATGCATTTAAATTAGCCTTACTAAGCTTGTTTCAGAATAAAAATTCTTTTGAATTACCAACTTCAAAATGAGGTTAGTAAGGCTAACTTTAATACTTGCAAAAGAATTTATAATTGGCCGCCATTTATGAAAGTGGTCTATAAGGAAACAAATTAACTGTTTGGTCATAAAAAGAAGCCAAAATATTAATCGTTAGCTGTATGAGCCACCACTCATTGAGACCCTCTTACTTGGGCCCTTGGGCAAGTGAGAATGAAAAGTAACATGCTGGCAAGAAAATCCACTTGTCCTTGATAAGTACATGTAGACAGCACTTTTTTTGAGTCCTGGTGCAAGGAGTAGTCTCTTTTTTTTTCCCTTAGCTTAGTTGAGTTAGAAGGAGAAAAAGGACGAAAAATACCAGCGGAACACCTATAGCCATTCTACAAGTATCACAAGCAGGTTAGCTGAAAAATTATGGCATTTTCCTTTTCTGAATTCAGTGGGGAAAAAATCCATGATACTGTAGCAATTTGAAAACACTATCAATCTAGCTGCCAATGAGCTGCCAAAACCTTGATAAACAGATGGCCGTTTGTTAATACTATATACTACTGTAGTTTTTACATAACATTCTGCTCGAATATTTTGCCATTACAAAAGGCATTACTTACCAGCCAACTTCTCTCCAAATCTTTTTTTGGTACCTCTATCAAGAACACCAGGTCTGAATATGCTTGTTTTTGGAAAATGCATTTCTTTCAAGGCATCCTCTACCTAAAAATGATATTTGATTTTATTACCAGTCGGTGTTTTTGTTGTTTTATAACTTAATAATAATCCATTTCGTTTGGTCGAGTTGCATAGCTCAGTTGTGTTGCATTGCATTGCTTAAATATGTTGCATTGTGTTTCGTGACGTTGTAGTCTCATTTCATTTGTCAATTTGTGAGAGCTTCAGCACATATTTTAACAGACTCGAAAGCCCACTTGACTCATATTAAATGTAAATTAGTCAATGGCTCAGCTGGGATGTCATCCCCCTACCCTCCCAGAGATGTGTTCCCACAAGATTATGTTTTTTAACAATTTGCTATTTCTCACTTATAATTAAATTTTATTTCCATTAATAATTTAAATATTTCTAATAATTTATAAGTATCACAGAACATTTTCATAGTTTACCTCGCCTTTAGTTTTGAGATAAAGGAAAAGACTGGATGATTTTGCTCCTTGAGAAGATATATATGTCATGTGAGGAACACTGGCTTCTTTGGCAATTTTTGCACAATTAACAACATAGTCATAATCCACATGTCTGAAAGCAGCCTAAAAATAGAATAACAGAAAGAAGCATTAATAAAGATGTTTAGGAAAACAACTATTAATACATTCTTGGTTCACTCTGACCATCATTCTGAGAGTTGAACAACATGTAACATTGGTAAACATAACAAGGTGAACCTCCTCCACTCCCTCTCCAGCAAGAAGACAACAGAAAGGTAAAATGTAGATTTATAAACAGGAACCTTTCCTGTTTGGAAAGAAATTAAGCGTATGTCACGAAACAGTGACGTGCAGTGATGTAGATGCTGCGAAGGAGACTAGGAAAGGGTTAAAAAAGATTTGGCTTGTATCTGTCAGACATGTATAGTCTTAAAGCGTTGGTAACAGCTTTTAATTATTATATAATACTTAATAACCTTTTGCTTTGGGCATGAGGTCAGGAGGAAAGATCCTTGTGAAAGTTTACCATCAACATCACTATTTTCAGTTATAAAGAAGCATTGTTTATTACTTGTTGCATTGTAATTTTTCCTCTTTAAGACATTTTTTTATGAAGAGTAATTTCATATAATTTTATGCAAAGGTTAACTCATGTCAATCATTATGCACAGGGAAATTCACAGGTTTGCTCATAGAAAAATTTGATCTTCATTCCTATCGCTTTAACCACACTCAGCTGATAATAATTTAACATAGAGTTGGGAGAAAAATAGTTAAATTTATCATTTACCACTAGAAATTTGAGGGTTAGTTACCGTAAGCTTGAACTGTTATAATAATTACCAATAAATTAGCAATTATGACTTACAGCTGACCCAGCGGCACGTCGAGTGGTACCCAAAGTACAAAAGAAAACATCTTTGTCCTCAAATTGTGGCCCAACTGTTTCACTGCTTATTGCCTCAAAGTCTGGTATTATGAACAAAAGAAAGGCTACTAAATACTCTCTTTCAATCCATATGTCAATAAAGATGCAAAGCTTGTCGAACAGGCTTGCCACTTCCCATTCATAATGATTGAGTTTTTCAAGGTTTTCCAAGCCTTTTTCAGTTTCTGGAATGCATTCAGAAAATAAGGCCAATGACACCTGGAGAAAATCTTTGGGTGGGGGTGTGCCGTTGGTACACTGAAACCCTTACTGTATACTATACCATGATCAGCTTGATTTTGCAATCCTATTCTAGACTAGACACCAAAACCCTTACCCTATCCCATACTAGCTAATTTTCCATGCAGAAAGTTTATCACTTAATCGCAGTCCAACATTCACTGACTAATCCAAACATCTTACAAAGTCACTTCCAAGTTTCAATTTCTATTATAGAAACCCAGTAAAGAACCATGTTCTACACAAAATTATTTATACACTGTCCAGTTTGCCTGTAAATAATACACTACTCTAGACCAAAACTGTCTGATTTCTATTTTATTTATTTATTTATTTATTATTTATTTATTCAACTTCGCCAGTTACTAAAAATTAATATACTAACTTATATACATTAAAAATTCATTACACAGGGAGACCACTACAGCGTAGCCAATTATAGTGGATCCCAGGGTACTGATAAGAATTCTATTCTATTACCCTATCCCAGACTAAACTGCCTGAAAACCATACCCTTCACAGCAGCACATACTGTACCCATTTATAATAATTATATGGGAATACCCTCACCCCCCACTCGGCCAATGACCAGAGGACACAGAAATAATATGAATTTGTTAATAACTGATATGTCCGGTAAAGTTCAAACATAAATGAGGGGCATTTCAAAAGAACGTGAGCACAGTTTGCAAGTTTGTATGCCTGCTCTTAAACACACTTGCAAGAAAACAAGAAAAAACAACCACCTCTGTTAAATTATGTGATTCCAAAAAATATCATTACCCACCCCATGGAGGGTTGATTATTAGAAATAACAAGTGGGAGGGGGATTTCAAAAGCCAAAATTAAACCAAAACTAGAATTTTCAGACAGATGAAGAGATTCCAAACAAAAAACAAATATTTTATGACCAATGGGTATAACATTTTGTGACACAAATTACCCTCAATGAAAGTTTAATTATCATGTACTTTACAAATTGAAGGAATAAAAAAGAATTGAAAAATATTTCTGTACCCACAACAAGTTGTTCAAGCCTCCCTGACTCTTCTTCAGCTTTTTGGTCAATAGAGTACCCTTCAGGAACCGTGGCATTTCTCCGTCCCAAAGAAACAACTTTTGACACATTCTGCAAGATTTCATTAACATTAGTACAATTTGAAGAACTTTTTTTCAGGCCGAGTGCGGACGCCATGCTTCAGCTGTGCCAAACTAAATTCTGGAATTAAGTTTGACAAAAGCACACCAGAAGTACGGCATCTGAATCAAACTTTGAAATTAAATTCAGTAGCAGTTAAGTTCGATGGACAAGCTCTGCTGTACTACACGACTCTGGCACACGTTAATATTATGTTGTATCTTAGCGGGATTGCATTTCCAGGGGGAGTTATAAGGAGAATTGTTACATCATGGCTTCAGTAAATCCTAAATGACACAACATCTGAATCAGGGTCGTGTTTCTGCTGTGTTACTGTCCGACCTACTTGGATTTGAATTTGCACTGCACAAATCTTCTGAGCTTGGGTGTACTAAAAATAATTGCCATGTTTATTTTGGTCAGACTCACAAGTACAGGCATTAAAATTTCGCTGTGGCTACATGTCCGGCAGCCGGACAGGTTTCTTAAAATACTCCGTGTCCGGCAGTGAGACTTTTTTAAAAGTAAAACAATCTAAAATGAACATTATGACAGGCAACCCCAAGAGGAATCGAACTCAGGTCGACGGCCTTGTAAGCAATACTGATGACCACTGTGCCACCACAACTGGCCGGCAATTTTCAGAATTTTTTAAGTATTTATCAAGTTACCCTTACTGAAACAGGCTAACCGCAGAGCTATTTAGACTAACCAGAGTACTTTTTAGGCTAACTGGAGTGCTTTAAAGGCTAACCGGAGTGCTTTTTTAGGTTAACCGGAGTGCTGTTCAAACATTTTGACTGCCAGTCATTTTATAATAGTCTAAGTTATAAATCCCAATATACCGAGTGCCAGGCTCACCAAAATTAGTATTCAGCCATATAAACAAGGATTTGACATTATTAACTGAAATTTTTAAAAAATAACTTTGACTGTCGGACACAGAGTATTTTGAAAATCCTGTCCGGCTGCCAGACATAGAGCCACAGCGTTAAAATTTCGGTCGGTTGATGTGCATAAAATAACGTGACTGTGTGGGCAGGCCTGTAGCTATCCAAACACCGTTTGTTATTGGTCCACGAAATAATACAAAAATGATCCAAAGAATGCAATGCCCCTATCTCTGTAGCTGCAGCTGCAGGTTGCGAGAACCAAGGAGGTCTTCGGTCTTTGTTTTTGAGATTCGTAGGGAGTCTTGGGGCGGATACAGGATTTTAGATAAGGGGGTTCCAGAACGGGCCGCCAAAGGCCGAAACCCCTGATCCCGCCCACGGCCCTAGATCCGCCCCACCCAGGAGATCTTAGGTCTAGATCTTAGTTTTTGAGATTCGGTGGTGGTCTGATTTAAGTCTTAGATCATGTTAGGTCTTAGTTTTTTAGACACCCCAGCGTGCTATACGATACGTACGAATTTTGATCAAATAGCTTCAAAACATGCACTTTTGACGATGAGAACAGCAGGAAAGTTGGTATAAATAGCACAAACTTAAACGCTGGACAAGATATCCTTCCCATTAAACAAACCTTAGAGCACAAAAGTTCACCGAGCAAACACTCGCCGATAGCACCAGTAGCTCCAATCAACACAGCCCTCATCCCTAACGGTTCCTCTGAACTTTGTTGACTTTGTTGGGGAGTCGCTGCTCCTCCGTCCGCCATATTTCTTACTGGCCCATAACCCATTGCGCGCCTAGTCTCTATTGACCGCAACCTTACGTTCCCAGTTTCCCTCGGGGAACATTTGGGAAATCTTCTGTAAGCTTAACCCTATGGAAACCCACATCGGGGGTGTATTTTGACGTTTGTAAAGGCTGAGGTATTTCAAATGTCCTTCCTTTGCAACCCTTACGCCAAAGCCAAAAGTCACGCAAAACCTCGGAAGGAATCGCTTCGTGACGATATAGAGCCCGGGGGGTGGGGGTGGGGGGGTACTTGGGTCAATCTTTGTTGGGTATGTGCCACTGGCCTCTCAGAACCCCTACCCCATTGTAGTCATATTCTATGGCCAATTATAGACCCCATCTTAGTCACTTTTGGGTAAATTTAATTTTCACGACCCCAACTTAGTCACTTTCTGTTTTTGCGTCTACCGTATAAATCCTTTTAACTACGTCTTTCTAAAATGAATTGACACATTTAATAAACTGAATGAAGAACACTTTACTTTACAACTACACTATAAACAGTCTGGTACATTTGCTTACCATAAACATTTACAAACATACCGTCATAAATAGTTGAAATGCAAACATTCTTCTTTAACGGTAACATTACACTAGCACTGA